AGTCTCAAGGAATAAAACTCAGTGTATTTTAAAAGTAGCTGAGACTTAGTAAAAACCATGATATTTAATGTGAAGTAATCCATATGCTCTTAAAGATGTTGGAACAGGATTGTCTGGGGTGGGTTTATCTATTTCATGTATTTGCAAAGACTTCATTCATTTAGAGGTTAATATGTTTACATTACATTTTGTCATGTTAATCCCTGCAATGGGAGAGGTAATATCCCTGTGGTTACAGAAAGAACAAGGGTCTTGACTTTGCCAAGGTCAAAGAAGAAATTTGTGAACTGTGCCTTGTAGCATCTCAACCGTTTCGCTCTGCCTTCGCACAAGCCACAGCATATGGCAGAGAATCTGTACAGTAGGTTTTTGCAAGTGCAGGAACAGAGAAGACTCTTGGGAGAGTGGAATGTCTGATGCTGAGGCAATCACAGATTTTGTGGAACATGCAGGCTTTTTTTACTCTCTTCATGAATTAAATTTAGAATGCTGTATATAGTTCAGTACTTCTCACACATAAATCTGAGTATATTGAGAAACATGCTTTAACTACTCTCTTTTAACTTGTGGGAATCCATGTTTTATTGAGAACCTTGATATTGTGAATGAGGTTTCCATGTAATCATCCCCCACTGTTGTCTGTGGGACTTTGAGGCTGCTGGACACCAAAGAGAGTTTGAGTATCGAGGTTCACTTCAGAAGCGAGGTTCTGGCTCTGCAGGATATTCCAGTATGATGTGAATTGAGGTGTGGCAGTAAAAGCATGGGCAGGGCACGAAGGGAAATGCAAAAAGCGTGGCAGTGAGGCCACAGCAAAGGTCACAGTGCCCAACTCGCCGCCTCTGCACGGCTCAATTTTTGCATGGGGACAAAAAAAAACCCCAAAGCCTTGCCTGCATGCTGCCTTGTAATCTATTGAGGAAAAGCTGGCTCTGTGCACATGGAAAGCTATTGGTTTCATGCATACCAATGACAAGATAAAGGGTTTCCCATATTTATTTATAGCATGTTGTTACTTGCAGTAATGCAGAGTGAGTCCTTTTAGGAGAAAGGGGTGAGGAAGGTGAGGGGATGCTGAGTGCCATTAAGGTTTGTGCTGTTTGGGCTGGGAATAAAAATTCTAGCATAAAAAATAATCTCCACATTTATTAATTTTCATGGGAGGTTTTTCTTCATGGAGCAAAGGTTAAGTAATGCATTTGTATGGTAAATGTCATAATTTCTCAGTTGGCTTGGTTTGAATAGTCAATAATTATTCTCTGTGATGCTTGTGACCATATTGAGATTTTATTCAAAAGCCATTGAAGTAAGCACAAGGGGGAAAGTTACTATTTTTGTTTTGTTATTGTTTGGTATAGGCCACATGCACAATGCTGTTCTTCATATTTGAAATCCCTTTCAAAGATATTTCAACTCACAACAATACACAAAACACACAATAGAACCAGAGGATTCAGTGATTATGGCTGGTAATGATAATGTGGATTTAGGTGCTGACAAAGCCTATATAATTAGTTTTAATTAACTCATTTTTTTTTCTCCTCAGTAATATGGTTAGAATCATACTAAAGGACCTTGTACCAGCATTCTTCCTTTTATAATAAAGCCACAAAGAAGAGGGCAATTTCAGCTTGTGTGCAATTAAAAAAAACTTACCATATCCTTTAGAAGTAAGAGTCATGAGAAAAATGTTTCTTCCCTACACTTTTTAATCCTCTAAAGATGTATGTTCATGCTTCAGTGGGTCTTTCCACATGTATAAAGCAAAAAGGGTACAGCCTGTAAGAGTAAATTTTAAAGAGCAAGAGAGTTTAAATACCCAAACCCCCTGGAATACAACGTGTACTTTTTTTTCCTAATGAACATGAAATTTAACTGAGCTGTGAGCCATGGGTTACTGGCAGTCATCTTGTGTTTCATAATAGCAGCAAACAAGTGAGATAAGCTTAGAAAAATTCCGTAGCAGGTTGGAAAATAAGAAATAATCAGTAGCACAATTGAGAATGGGCTCCACATGTAAGGGGGCACAAAGTGAGTGGGGATTTATCTTTGTGAACTCAGCCTTGCCACAGGCACTGTGTTTTGTGTGAGTTTGTCTTGTCTTTATGTTCTGAAAAGACCTTTCTTTCCATCATTTCTATTAAACAAATAGTCTGCATCTACACAGTTTGCTGTGTTACCTTTCAGCAATGTGGTTGTATTTTTTCTCAGTAGAGGTTGTGTATTTTTTGTAATTTGAATGCTTGGTGAAATTCACATTCTGTAGTCTTAATCCTCAAGTGGATTATCTAGGAATATCCATGGCAGTTTATATTTTGGTTTTTAGCAGAAATATTTTCTTGGCTGCTCATTAAATGAGGAATCCTCTCCCGAGAGTATTTATTTCAACAGACTGTAATTGAGGCGATGTACTTCACAAGGAATATATGAATATATGTGAATAAAGAGAGACTTATCATTTCAGTCACACTTTAGTTTACCTTGGGAAGTTAGTTTCAGTATGTAAATACGTGCATGCACCAGCTGATGCCAATCCTTGAGTGAAGGAGAAGGAATTTGCAGTTCTTCTCTTTTCTGCACTTGGAATTTCTGCAGGTTTCTGTTATGTGAGAGCCCAAGTGCTTTGCTGTGCTCAGCTACAGCCTTCTCCAGATGCAGGCTGTTCTTGATGCTCCTTGTCTGGAGAGGATCTCAGCTGTGCTACCTGTGCTCAGCACATTAGTGAGGTTAAATCAAACAAACCATGAGCAGACCTGCTGAGAAAGACAGATTACATTGCTGTTAGTAAGGTGAATTTTAAATAAAGCCAATGTGGAAGATTAGAGAATGAAAAAATGCAGAACTGATTATATTTAAAGATGTTGGAGACAAAAAAATGGTGGAATCCGATACGTAAATAAATATTTAAAAGATGTAAAAATGAGCAAAGGTATCTAGAGAAATGGAGTGCAGTTAATCAATAAGAATTTCTTTAAATATGCACTGTACAAAGTAAACAAAAAGGAAAGAAAATATTGATCAGCATGTGTTGAAAGCTGGTGACGGATTAATCTGACTACACAAAAGACTTAAACCTTCACATAATTGTTTCAGCAAGATAATATTGTCTGGTCTCTGAATTGCTTTTATCTTGGTAAGGCTTATTCTAAAGCATCTTTAACAAGGCAGTGATCACTATTGAGGACTAACAAAAGAGCATAGCTGCATTAAACTCACAATTTCTCAAAAACAAATAGCAAGAGAAAATATAAAGTATTTGCTGAGGGCATCTGTTGAAAGAAAATCAAAATTAAGCCTATTTGCACACATTAATTGAATGAGTTTGTTTTCATAAACAGATTTTTTAATTGTTATTTATATGTAATGTTTGATTGAAACTGCAGTTCATAACTATATATGGTTTGGTTGTGACTTAGGCAGTAGGTGCTGAAATCAGTATTTAGGCAGAACAGGTTTACAATTGCTGAAATGAAGAGTTTTTGAATGAGTTGCAGTGTTATTACATCAATGTAGGAATTCAAATTTGTTAGATTTGTGTATTACTGTGGAAATGGAAGGTGGGTAACTGTGTTTGTACAATTGATTTTAACAGCAAACAAATTAAACCCCAAACATTTAGTTCAGTACCAATAAGGATTTACTGTCTAGATCCAGATTTTTTACCTCCCAGTCAGGAATAGGCCTAAAGGAACAGGAATCAGTTTTAGTGCAAAACAGGATTTCCTCTTGAATTACAATTTTTCCAGTTATATTTTGGACAGGTGAAAAGACTATTTGTTTCTTTTTAAGATAGTGTTTTAGAAGTACAACTTTTATAATTTCATATTTAAATGATGAGGAAATGTCAGCAGAAGCTGAGGACATTTTGTATCTTAGGAATGGCTTCTGGATCACTGGGGTGTTTGAGAAATTAAGTAGGCAAGTAAAAAAATCAAGATTTGATACTGTAATTTCATTTTTAATAGCTTACAAAAAAAGAACTGGGACTTACAGGAGACAAATGCTTGTGTTTAAGATTCCAAATGTTTAGTAACAGCACTGTGATATTCATTCTTGAAAAATTAATAATCAGTACTGATTAGGATACTGTAGATAGTCTTCAGCGATTTGCCTAGATTTACCTCGGTGTTTTCATGCAATTACCTCAATTCACAAATTATCTGTTGTGAACCTGAGAGGGAGGAACCAGCTTATCAGCTCCTGCCTGCTGTCATGAATGAGTGTTTTCTCTTATTTACTTAGCTTTTTTCTTTTTTTTACTCTCATTCTGTTTCTGTTTTGAAGTTACTTAGACTATTATGAGATTTATAAAGAAAATTTGTTTCTTTAAAAAAATAAACACTTATTTACACAAAGCAATATCTGGTGCTTCCTAGTAACATAGTCATTGGGTTCCATGCCAGTTCATTGAGTTAATTTTTTATTCTGGCATGTTTTGCATAAGCTCCAGGACATGGGAGTAAGGCATTGTAATCACCATCCGAATAAAAACAAAAAACACAAAAAACACAAAAACAAAAATTACATTTTTGGGGTAGTTAAAGGAGAACTCTGACTCTTGTGGGGCATTACAAGAGCTCTGATGGCTTTTTTCCTTAAGCCAGAAAAACTCAGTGGTTGTAGAACTCTTTATCCTATTGATGGTAAAATCTTTTTTAGAAAGAAAAAAAATTATTTTGTTTCTTTTTTGTTTAAGAAAAGCTGAAAACCAACATGTAGGGTAGAGAAAAGATTTAACTGTCATGATTGTCACTATTATGTATCTCTCAGAGTGTATCTGGGCTGTTTTCTAAAATTTCCCAAGGAGGCCACAAGTGCGGGAACCTCACCTACAGGAGAGGTTCAGAGCAGCATCCGCTCTGAGGAGGAGGAATTAGCTGGCCCAGACCTCCAAGTCCCTCGTATCTGTCCACTGCCAGTGAAACCACGAGGTGCTGCAATGCCCTTTTTGCAGGTGCTGTTTGCTGTGCTTTCCTAACTGTGCCCTTTGCTGCCCACAGAGAGCGAGGAGGTGTACCAGCGCCAGGTGCTGTCCATTGCCTGCATCGTCTTCGGCATCGTCGTGGTGGGCATGCTTTGTGCAGCTTTCTACTTCAAAACAAAGTAAGAGCCTTCCTCTGCTCTGGTTGGGGTTTGGCTGCTGTCCTTTTCTCACAGCCTTAGGGTTCTTCAAATTCTGTCCTCCTTCTGAAGTTGCTGCTGTCTCTGGTCTGGCCACAGCAGTTCCCCATGGCTACACTGAGTCCACCCCAAAACATAAACAGGAGCAACACATGTTTTTCTTCCTATTTTCTGGTATCAGGAAAGAACAGATTGTGTCATTCCCAGTTCTTTTTTTTTTTATTTTTTTTATTTGTCAGTAATAATTTTGTGTCTTTTACTATCATGCAATAATCACTTGACTCTTCTGAAAATGACAGCTTCAACATACCATCTCCTCTATGCATTTCATTTCATATTCCTGAATGTCCATTTCTGCATGCTGAGAACAAAAGTAAGGTTAGAAATGCAGAAACAAGTCCTCTGCAGATACCTGTAACCTGTAGCTAATACAGCAGCCCGTTGATGAAGATGCATATTAGTATCTGTAACACAGAAGCACTTTGGCCTATCCAAGCACAGTGAAATCAACTGGACTAAACTATTTTCAAGTTAAATACTGTCCACTCTATCTTTTATCTTCCCAAATGAATATTATTTTATAATATTTATTGTTATGTGTGTAATCTGAGTTGCAAAAACCTCATAGCAGTTACATGACATGCTTGTCAGTGCTCCTGTATCAAGAAATATGTTCTGTATGGTGGTCATCCTTCATTCCTGTTCCAGTTGGAGCTAATGAGAGAGCACAAATCAATATAAAAAAGTATCTGGTACCTGTGTGAGGCTAGTCAGGGTGGCTGAGCATCAAAAATGTGAAGGTTGGCACTATTTAAAAGTTTGGATGTTTATCTGAATCCCCCTTTCTAGAATTTATTTTAATGTCTAGGAAATTTAATGAGGAATGGATTTGATTTAGAAAAAAAATTTAAATTGACATTTATATCCAGGGGGGGAAAAAAAAGAAAACAAAGATAAGAAGATCACCAGGTATTTTTTACCCCTTTTTCTTCCCCTCAAACTTCAGGGGTAGGTTATGAGTGAATATTTGAGTTGGTTCACGTTTTTTCTAAATTACTCTATTGTCTTGAGGGATTTTGTTTAATTGTTCTTTGGACATCCAGTGTGTCAGTCATGCTAGCTGGGAAGGACAGACTGGCAGGACAGTTCTTCCCTGTACAGCAAACTCCTCTGCAGTGTAACTTGTGAGCAGAGACAGCCTCTTTGGCACTGCCATTAGAAATGTCACTATGCATTTTACATCTGCAGATCTTAGAAGAAAGAGTGAGTGAGAATCTTCCTGGGAAGGCTTGAGGGTTTTGCTGATGAAGAGAGTTTCAGAAAAGGCAGGATGGGATTGTCAGGAGGAGGAACATGCCATCAGTGACTGAGCACACTGTGAATAAAAAGCCCCTCTGTTATTCTCAGTGCCTCTCTTGGTCTTGCCCTGCTGTAGGGAGTGGTGAGAGCTGGGTTGGAACAGCCTCCAAAACACCCTGGCTTTGATGAGGTGGTGAGGAGAGTTATGTCTGAAAATGACTGGAAATAACACTTGAAAGAGGAGCTTACAGGACAGGGGGTTTGGGGTTCTGTCTGCATTATAAATACGAGAGTTACTGAGAAGAGTTGAAGTGGGCTGGTGCCAGGCTCTGGGAACTGAAGTTTGGAGAGTTATGAGAAAATGAGCACCCCTGGTTCTGTCAGGAGGCCTCAGACAATGTATGAATTGAGTGAGGAGACTGCTCAGTCCGTAACATCCTGGCTCTGGCTACTTCTGGTGCTGTCCAAAAAGGAAATGAAAGTGTCTCAGCTGGGTCTCATGGGAGAGAGGTAAAATTGTAAATGTAACATTAGCCAGTGTCCTAAGGGTGTAAAACCCAACAAATTTTAAATTTTGAAAATTTGAAGAATTTGAAGCCTCAACACTTATCATATGTTAGCTTTTAGTCAGCAGGTTTTTGGGAGCTTCTTTTTAAGTCATGTGTACCCTGACTGTGCTTAAGAATTACCAAAGCATTCCTGTTGCATGGGGGTTATCTTGGGGTTTCATTTGACGTACAAGAAATTTAGAATATTGCTAACAGAAATAGAAACTCTGAACAGGGCATCCATTATGAGAAAAGTTTCCTTGAAGATCCTAACCCTCACTTACTTAGTCTGACAATTCCATAATACCAGCTGCTAGAAACAGGCACTTCCCTATATGCCATTGAATTAAAAGTCCTTTTTTAAAATAGATTCAATCTGAGAAAGTTTAGGACTATAATTAAACTCTCTGCCCTTCCAATTATTCCTTTTAGGTTAATCAAGAAAGTGCTGGAAGTGTTAGCAACAGATGAAGAGTACAGTAATGGGCTGCCCTTTACAGCTTACACTTTTACAAATGACTAGTGACTTTATTTCTTGCTGAAGTAAGAACACTTCACTGCCAAATAACTCTAGTTATAGTTATAGTAGAACACATAAGGCCCATTTGTTTTGAAAACAAAAATTATAAAATAAATTTATTAATCAGCAAGTAACTTTGAATTATTAATGGTTTCTAGTTTTATAGCTGTGCATCCTATAGTTTTGCAAAATGAATATGCATAAACCTGATATTAATGTTAGGTTGCACGAACATAAAAGCAAATTAATGATTGGATTGTTTTTCTCAGCAAATTACCTTCAGGAATTTCAACTGTAGTGTTAAAAATTGCAGTAACGAAGCTGAATATTCCAGTTTACTTACACGTGTTTATATACATAGAAATAATTCTATTTATTTTTCTAAAGAATCCAAAATTATTTTTGTTATTTTCCTGATTAAATTGTCATTTTTTATGTATATGAGAGGTTCCCAAAGTCTGATGCTGTGATCATGTTTCACTATCATTGTTCATAACTTATATGAAGTCATGCAAAAATTTCCTGAATATTCCATAACCTCTCTGGAGACCAACATGGAAGAGGCTGGTTTTCCAGTAGGACATAGGAATAAATGTGCTAATTTCCTCTGTGTATGTAGTTTAGCTGGTCAGAAAACAGTTGTTCATAAAAACTCTAAAGTTGCTTTTGTGAATCTCCCCTGGAATTTTATGAGAAGCTGAAGAGCTCATTTAGACATTTTACAAATTAAATCATTCAGTTTCATTGGATTCAAAAATTAATGGATATTAAAAACATTTTTAAAAGAGATGTTTCAGACTCAACTGACTAATTTAATTTGACACTATATTCCTTCAGATTAGATATCTATTCAGATTACTCCAATATTAACTCTACAAGTTTTGGCTAAAGAAAATTTTGAAAGTTTTTTTGTGCTTGAGAAATGATTTCCTCACCTACCTCTATTCATTTATTTTACTAAATATGAGCTTGTCCTCGGTGACAATACTCAAAACATGCCACTCCTTTATAACATGCTTACAATATAAATTCATTCTTTTCCATTTGCTTCAAAATAGGATGCAAGTAGAAAGCCTAAGAGGTACTTAGAGTCCTGGATTTGATATGGCTTATGACCTGCACTCAGGAAACGAGCTGTAACAGAGGCTTTTAAGCAAGTACTTACGATTTGTTGAATATAAGCGAATGCTTACATTGTGTCATACTGAACCAAAACGAAGGGACTCAAAGACTATTAAAATCTATGTTATTAAAATTGAATATTTGAACTGTGATACTTCTCACCAGTTACTTTTGTATTGAGGGAACTTGTCCTCTCTCACTGCACTGAATACACAAGTCATTTCTGCTTTCTTATACCTTCCAGGAGTAGACACATATTCCTCTGTGAATAAGAAATTTAAATTAATTTTCTACTTCATTCAGTGTCAAATTCACTGCCTGACCCAAGGTCCTGTCAAACTTACTGATGTAACAAGGCTTTCCACAATCAAATTACCAGAAATGATTCAAAATGCTGCTGGATCTTCTTTGCTGAAATTTAACTTTCAGTATAGAAAGGCCATATTTTCTTTCTCTTATCAACATTTGCCAGAAATCACTTCCTTTGGAAATTTGGCTTGGCACCAGTTGCTGTCCAAAACCTGCTGGTGGCAGAATGAAATGCTGCTACTGGTGAGTCCTTGACATCACTGGGTTGTTTCCAAGGCCATTGTAGGTTCTCTGCTGGAGATGCATCTTCTGGGGACAGAAAGGAAGCAGGGAAGGAAGGAAGAAAGGAAAGAATTAAAATGGTATTGTGAAGTTTTTGCTCATAATCATTTAAAACTGATAGTCCCAGACAATGTAGCTTATCAAAAATAAAAAATAAAGGAAACTGATAGAAGACCTTAAAGGTATTTTGCTAACAGTTTTTCCCAGCTGAGATAACTTTTTGCACAAGATAAAAGTAATATTTAAACTTTTCTGTCTCGTATCTTCTATCATGTACAGAACTTAAAAAATGTTTGTCACTCCCACTCAATATAGTGTGACAGAAACAGAAAGTCTTTGTTAGCAGTATAGTTATCTCCTGAATAATGCAAGGGATTCATCTTGTGGTGTTCCTAGCTCTGACAGGGTGGATTATAGTATAAGTCAAAAACACGGCCTCAGAGGCCATACTGATGTTTTTTTCCAGGTTTAAGCATATAAGCAGAAGCTGCTCTACACAAGATGTGTTATAGGTCAAGTCTAATCAGCCAGCAGAAATCTTTGATTCTTCATCAATTTTTGTAGCCTGCAGGGGCTAATGCCCATTTTATTTGCCAAAACCTCTTTTCCAAATCAAAGAAAAATGCTTTTTTTATTATTCAGACCGACTTGCAGGCTATTGTTAAATGCTCAATAGAATCATCTCACAAAACTGTGCACTAGCACAAGGAGCATACTCTTAGAGTAATCTGAGAATAGAAGGTATTTTAAAACAGAAGAGAGAGGTTTTTTTCCCCCCTTTGTTAAGCCTTGCCAGGAAACAACCGCTGCATTGAAGTATCACACATTAGTCAATTAGCTCAGCTGGCTCATCCAACACGGTGAAGTTTGGAACAAAGGGAGATGTGGCTATAAAAGTATCATGGCTGTAGCAGAAGATCAGGAGAGCTCTTTCTTACACGAGTTTTATTTCTCTCTGCAGGAAACAAACAAAGCAAATTCATGAACAGCTGAAGGAAACGCAGAATAGGAAAACCTACAGCCTAAATGCTTCCAGCATGATGGCAAAGTCGGAGTGTATGGCACAAAGCCAAGTCCAGCTGCAAAATGTAAGTAATCCTGCCAGCTACAGCACTTAATAGCCTGGCTGAGTTCCTGCTGCTGATGGCAGCACATCGTCATGCTGCTATTAACATCTGAGCAATGGGAACCACAATTCTCACCTCTTTCATAAAATGCTTTTTCTATCAGGCCTCTTAATGGAAATCTGGGATTTTTTTCATAAAGTTATTTCAATGGATGCTGGTGCATTTTGTTCATGTAGCAGACTTTGCTGAGCCCCCCAGCTCTGCATACAGCAGTGAAAATTACTGTTATAGTTTCCAGCAGCACCTGAGGTCATATATGTCTTTGTGTGCAGTGGGGGTCCTTGAACGTAAGTGATGTCATGCCTTCCAATAATTTATGATCCTGCATGAAAAAAACCAGAGATTTGTCACAGTTAATTCAGAGTAAATTCAAAATCTAGAACTAAATTTACCCATGTAAACAAATGCCCCAGGGAAGACCATGCAGATGGTCTCATTTTTCTGGGTCTTTAGTTAAAGGTACTTTTGTTTACAGAAAGAAATTAGTCTGTTCAAAATAAATTTGAAATATATTTAATCATTTTATGAATATAATTATATGAAGTCATTACAATCTCACAATCATGAAATATTTAAAGCATGTTTGAAATAAGGAACTTGAAGACAACCCATTTATTTAGCCCTGGTATTTTCTTTAGGAAGGTATTTTCAGTATATGCCATTCCCTTTCCCTCAGTCACACAATCAGTGCTGTCTTTACTTTGAACAAAGCCTTTGGAAGGAGGATCCTGGTAGCAATATAATAGGAATATATAAAAGATGTATTAAAACCTTTCTAAATTATTAACTCCTTTTTTTAAAAAAAAAGTATCTTAGCACTGCTCAAAGGAATGACTACCTTATTTGCCAGATTCCATCAAAATAGTGGGACTTCAGCAAAAGTGAGCACTCATGCCCACTTAACCAAAGATTTCTTAACTCCTAGTCTACATCCAATTAATTTAGAGATAAATATAAGCCCTTTTAACCAATTTAGAGCATGCAGAGCCTCCCTGCTAAGACACAGAGGCTGTCAGAGTGTTGCTTGTGTTCACTGAAAGTTCTGTTTTGTAGGAACACCATGATGGTGGTCCTGTATATGCTCATGATAGGCTTTGTAATTCAGGAAAAATGTACTCTTTCAAGAAGGAAGATGGCTCCACTCAATTGACATAATCACAGCTGGGGGAACCTTGTGCAATTTTTTCCTCTCACTTTCAGTCATTCAGCCTTATATTATACTTCAAGCACAAAAAAAAAACCAGCTGTTGGGAGTGTTGTTGGTTGTAATGATGGCAATGACAGGTAAAGTTCATGATCCTTTTGTTCTAGCCTGTGAAATAAGCCTTGGTTAACACAAAGAATATGCTCTTTGCCATTTTCTAACTGTAATTCAGTGCAATATTTTGTCATTTTCTTTTGCCACAACCATAGTGGCTGAAATAGCAGTCCATAGATTCTGAATGTAGTGACTGAGCACCATCATTATTATATTTACTATTTTAATCCAAATTTGCTTTCCAGTTTTTGATGCTGTGCAGCCTGACATTATGAGTGCTGGTAATTAGCACACCATTTTCTTGTTCTTGTGGCTGTTTACAGACAACTCTTTTCTCCTTGCCATTAATGCATTCTCCCTTTGGGAAGATAGGAAGGAAGAAAAACAGAATGACCTTGTGCAGGATGCAGTGTAACAGTGTAATAGGGGTTTCTATTATCAGGAAGATTTTAGTGCAGGAATGCATGCAGGCAGCTCATGAAATATTTACAAAACTTGCCAGATTGGAGTCAGTGGGGAGGGCAGGGGTTTGGTGAGGCAGTAGAAAAGGGACTTTGGAAAGGTATTTTGTAGGAATGGCTGAGAGACTCCTTCAGAGATAAGCTGTCTGCCTCAGGTAGATGTGCTCCCTCTGCCATTCCCATCTGCAGCTGCCACTGCATGGGCCTGGGGAGAAATCCTAGTTCCCTTCATTTCCAGGAGCTAATAAATAAGCTTAAATAATGAGGCCAGTTATTTTTTGGAGACTGCTCCCCCAGTCTGGCATTTTGGTTTAGGTAATCCCGGGAGTTGTCTCTTTTCCCACTCCATGTGCCCCCCCTACAAGCAAGAGAGTTTTCCCATTTACGTCACCTTTCTGTCTTTCCCTTGAAGATTATCCTGGATTTTTCTCTTGTCTCTTTTGAATAGACCTGGTGATGCTTTCAGGCTTTTCACACAGCTCTTTCTTCTTCTCCAGAGGAGAATGCTTTTGTGGAGACCTGAGAAAAGTTGTATAAGGTTCCTTATACCATCACCTTTTGACTGAGAGGTTGCTATATTTAGTAAAGGTACATCTATCTTTCCAAATGTGTTGCTTTAGAAGGAGGTTTAACTTATTTCCCAAGGCCCAGGGTATAGCAGACAGGGTTTCAAGTGGTTTGTGGCTATAAAGTGCTTGACCAATCTCAGTGAAGTAATTTTTCCTCCCACACTCAAATGTATTACATGTCCTCCACTCCCTGCCTCTGCTCATATATAAGTGAAATAAAGGGTTGGATTTTGTCAGGACAGCTGTGTTCTCTCTGAAGTCCTGCTGCTCATCACTGGTAATTGTGCTCATCTATAACAAGTCTTATCCTCAGTACAAATTTCAGTGTTTTCTTAGAGGTACAAATTAGATGAAAAATACTGTGTACTTTAAGAGGTATTCATACATTTCTGTTTGAACACAGCTCCTAGGATTTCCTGAATCTCCTCCAAGTCCACTGCTTTTCCCAAACATTCCTGGCAGCAACACACTTAAATTCTTGCTGGGTGTTTCTTGCTAGGGTTTCTAGCCTCTTGGATTTAAAGACTAATGCACTGGTAATCTTGCTATAATTCTTCAGCCAGGAAGAGATAGATGTGCCAGCTTTTAATTCAGGATCTTTGAGGTACACAGGAGATTCAGATTAATTTCACCTAATGCATTAAACCTGGGGCTTCCCAAGTATTATGTACCCCTTCCCAAAGAGATCATCCTCCTTTCAAGAGATATTTAAGGGGCTGCTGCAAACAGTTAGGTCTCCACATAGTCAAAAGGAAGGAAATTGTCATTCTCCCCATCTAGAAAGACAAGTACTTGGTGCACCCTCACACACCATGCAGGAGGAGGTGGGGTGGCTCCTGATTCCTATCTGCCTTTTCCACGTAGAGCAGAGGGCTTCTTTTTAAATTCTCACAACTTGGTAAATATGTCATGAGAAAAAAATAAAATAAAAAGAGTCAGCTGAAACCTTGACATTCCTTTAGTGATTCTGAGAACTGGCATGGCTTTTTAAAGTGGCCTTTTTCATCCTTGTGGTTTTTAATACCTTCTCCCATGGTACCAAGGGGATCTATTAATTTCCCATCACTTTCCCTCTGAGGTGGTTAATATGCTTTTCGTGCTGTACTGTGTGGTTTCCATTTTCACTACACTTGTTTCTAGTGACTTGCAACCACGAGCTACAGGTTTCTGAAATTCTTATAATGAGGGACAAAAAATGCTCCTTTTGCATCTTGTTGCCTTTTGTTCATAGTAGTAGGAAATAAAATCTTTTCAGTCGCTGTGATAGAAATGTAGTTAATATATGTCAAGCAAGAGATACTTTAAATCTTTTAAAGGATTACTCCGTGGTTTTACCTCAATAACCATTTGATCTATCAGCTAAGATCAAGAGCAAATTTCCCATTTCTGTATCACATGACTATTTAGGAAGAGCTGCCAGCATAGACAAACCTGAGTTTACTGCCCTCTGTCTAAAGCCAGTGTTGGCAACAAAACATAGAGAGCATAGGGGAAGGGTAAGGATGTTAAATGTACCACCTGGTGAGCTTTTGAGCAAACTGAGCCCCCAGAAAAATCAGTGGCTCTTTTCCTCCTTGAGGCAACCTCTCTGAATGTCATTTACAGCTGACCCCTCTGCCTTCTCAGTTCTTTTTGAGATGGGATCCCACATCGCCTCCCTTCCAATGCCACGTGAATTTTTGGACCTTTTACTGTTTTGGGGCAATTGCTGAGGGGGAAGAGCTGAGTAAAGCCCAGGAGAGGGATGGGTGTTTTGGTTTGCATAACACCAGGCCAACAGTGCCAAGCTGCCCTGCAGCATTCAAGTGGCTTTGGTCGTCCCTGAGCCCTGCGTTTCAGAGCCGGGGATTCAAGGTGTGCAGCAGAGGAATTATGTGCTCACAGCAATGCAGCAGGTCAGTGACAAAGGCTGAATTCTTGTCTCCTGGCTCAGGCTGCCTTCACAGATTCACTTAGCATTAACTAGTAGGGGGTGGAATTTTTATTGTCAGAGTTGAGTAATTGCATGTAATAGATTATTTTTTCCTTGAAACAATGAAAAATTGGAAATTCACAAAATATTTTTTTTTTAAATCTATCATTGTTCTTTAATTTATTTATTCATATGCCTCAGTGTTTTTCAGTAATTTCTCAAAGAACCAATAATTAACAAAGAAGGCAATAAAACCATTAAAAAACCCGAATACAGATAAGCTTTCAGTGATGCTTTCACCCTACTGGAACAGGTCTTTGAAAGGGTTTCACAGCTTATTCTCCATCATGAGAATATTCAGCAGCTCACAACAGTCAGAGGTGTCCATGGAGCTCAGTGCAGGTGAGAAGTGAGCTGTGAGAGCAGCAGGATGAGCCCTGCTGGGACATGGCTGGGGAATGATCCCACATTGTACTTCTGGGGGCAACAACTGATACTGCTGTAAGCTCTTCACAGAAGTTTGATGGTATTTTTCCCCAGAGGTGATCTTAGAGAAGGGATGTAGCACTTGGAATTAAACTAAAGGAGAATAAACCCGTGCTTAAATATATTAAAATGTATGAATAATGTTGTACATCCAGATATGTTCAATTACACTGTTAGAATTCCCTGTATATTCACACCTCAATTTAAACTGTAATTCACATTTTCATTATAATGAATGTTATGACTGTTACAGGAATTGTGTGTTAAGTGGCGTATCTGAAAAGGGGAAAAAAGTTCAGTTAGGGGAAAAAAATACCCTTTTTAGGCTGTGTGTGAGTGGTGCTGGGTGCTGGACCTTCATTAAAGTTTGATGATCAGCACCAGAGCAGCTTCTGGGGTCCTGTTGTTCCTCAGCTGTGATGAGTTAAGGCTCTGTTTACCACTGCTCCAGCCCACATCCACCTGAAGCAAGGATGTAGCAAAAGGCACAGCTTATCTCTGCTCTTTGTGATTCACTTCATACTCATGGTCTTTTAGGCCATTCAGGCCTTCAATTTTGTATCATGAACAAACTCAAAGAAAGGACAGAAATAGCTTCTTGGCACTAGCAAGCCATTCTTTACATAGCTCAAATTGATTTATTCAGGTCAGAAATCAAAGCCAGTTTCATTTCTGCAGCTGGCAGGCTAACTATTAAAGTTTAAAACCTTCACCGACACGAGTACCTTAAAAATCATATTTCTGTCTGAATATTTTATCTACAACATTTACAAGTGACATCTAAGATCATGGTAACTGAAAGAAATGGGAGTGGAATATGTTTCTTCTTATTACTTCAGTCGTGTTTACTTCATGCATGCAGCACCATTTTGCATATTGCCACTCCCAGCTTTGCCTTGAAGCTGAAAAGAAGAAAGTTTGACCCTGTTTAACATGGGTATTTCACTCAACAGAAAGAGGCAGAAGAGCACTGGAGAAAAACCTGAAGAGCTGTTACTTTATCTATAGAAATTGGTCAAAAGAAGTCTGACTGGCTGTACTTAAAGTCCATGTAACCTATTTTTAAAAGTGAATATTCTTGTATGACTTTCCTTTTTGATCTTGCTGAAGTATACAGAAATGTAGATAAGGAAAAAGTCAGAGTCAGAAAATAATTGTTGTTTTAAGCAGTTACTGATCTTTTGTTAGACAAAACTAATAATTATGAAGAATTGTCTTTTGAAAGAATGCCTACTATCTTCTCCATGAATTTCTATGCTATTGTATCATAACAAGACAATTTTCACCACTATTTTCAAATATTTTAATTTGTATTTTCTTTCTAAAATATGTAATCGTGTAATTGCTCCCATGATACCAATCTATTTTAAAGATAGCATGGATATCTAGGTGTCCAGTACTAAAAATACAAATCAAAAGGAAAACAGACCTATTAGTTTTAGTGCAGGTACTTGTAATGCAATGTAAAAAAATCTGAAAAGTGCTTTATTTTTCACACCTGAGTGGAAATGTGAGTTAACCTCTCATATCTCAGAGATATTTCCCAGTGACCATAACATTCCACAACATGGAATCTTCTTACAAACCCAAGTGCAGCTTTTTCTATACTTCAACTTTATGGCTCCACGCTGGTGGAGAGACCTTTTTTGTTGGGTTTTGGGTTGGTGGTTTTTTTTTGAAATTGCAGTTGAATCACAAAGCAAGAAGAACAAATCTGTTCTTCTTCATGTCTAGTGTCTGCTTTGCAGACCTTTGTGTCTCCCTCTGTGCCCAGAGACCGCCCTACGCCTACACCTGCCACAGGAAGAATTATGTTTACCCTGTTCTTACTAGCACAGATACTCCCAGGTCAAAAGTTTCAAGCTGGTTCAGAAAGATATCTGGCTCTGTGGATAGGTTTCAAATGTTTTTCTTACTTATCTGATGACACAAGTGCTGTTTCACTTTGGTTTTCATAGTTGTACATGCTGATGATGAATGCAGTGTTTGACTGAAATCACCAAAGGACCAAGAAGTTGCTGATTGTCCTCTGATGTGTTTTGTGATCTGTCTCTGCATGGACAGCCACAAAAACAGATTTCCAGTCAAAGGCACCATTGTTCCCATTATTATGGGCAGATCAGTCTGTAATTTTGGTGCTAATGCTGATACCAGCATTTTGACGTGCAGAACGTAATGGGGATAATGGTTACTATCCCTTTCTGCTGTGTAAACAATACTGAATGAATGTGTGATTTACAATGCCTAATTTTGATTTAAAAATGCGCTAGAGCACTTCTTACCCAGCTCTGATATGAATTCAGAGTGAATAGCATCAACAATGTACTTTGTCTTGTGAGTATTAATTAATTTTATTCTCTCTGCTACAGTATTCAAAACCAGATAGGCATCCGGGGCCTATTCTGCACAAAGTTATGGAGTCTAGTTTTTCAGGCCCTCAGTCTTTCCCAGAGGCCTTGTCTCCTGACAGAGGAACCCAGCCCATCAAGCACCACAGGTGAGCAGAGTCTGTCTGGGGAGAGGCTGGGCGGCGCGGTGCAGGGGTGCAGAACTGCTGATACGTGCGCGAGGTTATCGCGCGCTGGGGCTGGGTGAGCTGCTGGCTGCCCTGGTGCCAGCAGAGCCTCAGACAGATTATTAAGCAGCTGTCCAGCGTGTTCCTGGCTGCAGACATGAAAGGTAATAGCGATGCTCACTGCCTGCCTCTGCGCCGGTCCCGCGGGAGGCGTTTGCAGGCGCCACCCAAGCTGCGGGCACAGCCCGGCCAGTGGAACAGCTGCAGGAGGAGCAGCATTTAAAAACAAGACTTATCCATGTTCATGAAGTTAATGACTCATTTGCTTCAGAAAGACTTGGTTGCAAACCTGCAGCCTTTTTCACCCTTTCCCTTAACAAAAGATATGTGGAATGAATAATGACTTGTTTATGAAAACACGGTGGCCTTTGAAAAGGAGGCTTTAAAATGTTTGGATGGTCATTTCCAAGAGGAAAAAAAATGAGAAATGTCACCCATCACTGGATGAGATTCAGATTAGAATTCTGCTTCTAACTTTTTTTGGATGAGAAAGATTGCAGGTGCTTCATTACAGGACTAGAAACCAAAGTGGAGTCTGGTACAAACAATAGTGTTGGTGGAATGACAGTGGTAACATCTGGTCCAGTGCACAGAGAGAGAGAAAAAAGGCTGAGAAAAATGAGTTTGGAATTTTTTCAGCTGGATGAACTGAAGTGGAAGACTTGTTTATTAAAAGGATTTTTTTTTTTAAATTTCTTTTTTTAACTACTTACAAAGAAGTCTGAGATGGCATGAGGTTATGATCTGGCTTCTGTAGTACTTGGTGCACTTCCAGTGCATTCTCTCAGCCATCTATGTGGTTTTTCTCATTTGAATAAGGGATTTGCTTAACCTACCAAGTACCACATACAAGCCAGAAAGGGGTATTTGGGTCTCTTCTACTTTTACCTTAGTTAAGCCTTTAATTTGGCATGAAAAAAATTATGTCAGTTGTCATATCAGATCCATTTCTTAGGTATTTCTCCTTATTACACAGAAATTTTCAAAACATGGTTAAAAATTTTATTAAACGTAGATGAACTATGGGACCATTGCCTAGAATGCTTTCTACAGAAGTTCTGGGAAGAATTTTATCACCATTTAGTCACAACATGAAGTTTGGAAAAGAACTCAGAGACATTCCCTTACCTTTTAATAGTGTGATTGCACAATCCAAGAGATGTCTTTGCTTCAGAACTAAGAAGTGGGATGACTAGTTAATTTATAAAGAATTCTTTTGTCGTTTTAAAGCTTAAGATTTATTATACAAGGCCCTTGTTTTATAAAACATGCAACAGACTTGAACGTTTAAGACGTACAAGGCTGTCTTTAATTTATGCACCATGTGGGAGATTCCTAATTTATTTTCTGAATAGTGTTCACTGTGGACAAATGGTCAAATGAGGATTTTATACTAAATATCTCTTCATTTCATTCCAAACCTGACTGAGCCTGGAAAAATTACATCAGCTCTGCAGGTTCTCTCTTTTATGCTGTTCTGAATTCTGTTGTTTTATTTCTGCTTGCTATGGAAATACTTTGCTCTACATCCAGACCTGTTTTGTCTGCTGGTGTTTTCAAGGACACTGATGATGGGTGATCATTTCTTAAAATTGGGAGCTGGCAGTTTCAGGTGCTCAAACTAATAAATTTTGGCCTGGAAGTAAGACTGTCAATGTAGGGAATCATTTGGAGTTGCTGAAATGTGACTAACAGAGACCAGCTAATTATTTCACTCAGATTATGGATAATAGCAATTTTCTGTCTCAACAAACCTCAGCTACACAAAAAGAATTAATGCAGAGATTAGGTTGAAAATTGAAATTTAATCTCAAAAAATATTTACCCTGCGTTATTATTAATATCCTGAAACATTTTGCCTGCATTGTGCTGTTATCGTAGAAGTTACATCTTCTGCTTGCATATGTAAAATAACTCTTAGAACTGTCAGAATTCCAAATTAACAAATGTGTTTAATCAGTAAACTTCCTGCAATGTATGTAATGTGCTCAAAAATTTGTCTTGGATTATCTGTTGATCTTGGTAAGAAGGAAATCCATGCTGCTTTATTTTCTAATATATAGAAATAAATTAGAGTTCTGTTAATTATGGGTTGAGTTGTGATCCCATTGAATAGCAGTTTTCTTGGTAATTAGTCATCCTGACTTTCATTCATGGATTCAGTCATCCTTGATTTTAGAGGGATTCATTTCAGAGAATGCCATGATGAAAGCCAAATGCAGAAGCTTTCAGCCTGGAGCAGTTGTATTGTCTTACAAAAATGCCAAAATAGGATAAACTTACCCTAAAATTAGTAATAATTTGTGTTTTCATTTTTAATGACCTTTCTACACCACAAAAAAACATGGAAAAGCTTTTTTTTTTTTTCATTTGGTAAGCATTTCACTCTTTATGATGCTAATGTGAGTGATTCACTTTACAGTAAAGGAAAGAGTAAATAAAAGTTATTCTGTAAAATAAGACTATTGAATTTCAAAGAGCAAGCATAGGTAAGCTAAAGCAACTAAGAATGTAAAGGCAGAAGAAGCCTGAAAGGAAGAAGGTGTAAGGAATCTGCTATTTCCCCAAAGAAAAAGCAAAACTGATGATGGGACAGAGATGATAATTGAAGCAATTAGGGTAAGCCTGAATTAACAGATTTCATTTTTTAATAAAAAGTTGGGATGACTATTTGAGGACAAAGGTCGAATATGAACAGAATCATATATATGAAAATAGACATTCCCACAGTCAAAGTGGAAGTAAAATGCAGAAATCAAAGCTCTCAAGATGGTTTGGTTAATCTTGATCAAGAAAATAAAATTGAAAGAACCGGTTCACAAAATTTCATGTCTGGGAGAAAAATCTATTAAAATGGGTACTGTGACATGAGATGATGGATTAGCAAGTGTCAAATATTTAGGAGGATGAAGAATTTATCAAAGTGACTAGGAACCTATGCTAAATTTGAATAGTCAAGACTTTAGGACAAATGTGGGAGAAGAAGATTCTTGCGATAGATATAAAAAAGGCAAAATATTGTTTACTATCTTACCAACAGCAGGTACTGCAACATATGCACCGATGATTGTATTTATATTTGATGGGGGTGAGTTAGATCTCCACACAAGCTCAGTCACTGTTGCCATATGTGTCTAACACCTTTAAGGGGAGGAAGCTGGGAGAGGCAGAAAATCTCTGATGTGGATGCACAGAGGTGGTTAAAAGGGAGGGATATTAAGGACTTGTGTTGAGAAGGTAGGACCTTCACCAGTGCAGCACTTAGAGAGTCAGTCAGCACTGGGGACAGCCTTTGTTTGTGCTGGAATGCAGTATAGTGTGAGAATGCACCCCTGTTACCTCACCTGATTCAAATGGCCTCCCAATTGCCATGGACTCCAATTGCACTCCCAAGCTAAAATGAGGAGTGAATGATTCATGTTCCATGGAAAGTGTTAGAAGGCTGTCTTATGTCAGTCTTCAGTTCAAGAGACTGGAAAGGGTGTGTGACTGCTGTGTATGAGCACATGAGAGCAAGCACTACAGAAGTAAAAGACCTATTTAAAATGAAGGAGTGTGGTGGCACGTATACCAGCTGAATATTCATCAGAAATAATTTTTAACTGAAGTCTCAAACTTTTCAGTATAGAACAACTCTCTGCAATAGTAGCCTGGATATCATCACCAGTTTGGGATGGAGGTTGATCAGTGCACTGGAGGAAGTATATGATGAGGTTATGGCAGATGATTAAGCTCAGTGCTCAAATGCTCTGTTCCCATTTCTTATGGTTCTATCACCAGGATTGTGACCAGATGACACAGGTAGCATTGAAGGGTTTCCATAGAGCTCCAAAGTCCCTGAGTAGCCTCAAAACAGACTATTCCCAAATACCAGAATATTTTGAAGGAATCAATAATGATCTCATTTCAGAAACCGAGAGGAGATTTGTAGCTGTAGGCTGTATTCATTAATACTGAAATTGGCTGAAAGTCTCGGTAGTCGATTCTTGCAAATGTTAGCAGTAGATTGTCTAACAGCCCAAAAAGGGGGCTCTGAGGGAATATCAGAGGACACTGCCTGGCAGCTGGCTCTCTCATTTGGGTATGTATTTACTGGGTGTAATTAACTCAAAAATAGTTCAGAAGGATTCCAGAATTACTGTAAAAACACTGCTGCTCTTCTCTTCATGAACATGGGTAACTGCACTTGGGAGTTTTGTATGTGCCCCAAGAGGAGAATACCTGTAGGATCAGACTTTGTTTTCATTCAGCTGCTCAACCAAAAGAAAATTCTCACAGAAAACAACTGGCAAGAATGAATCCCAAGTTCTTCATTAACTTTAGGATGGTTGAACTGCTTTTTTCAAAACATTAATTCATCAGAACTATATTTCTCCCTAGTTTATGCATCGCTTGTGAACCACATCATGCATATTCTGATTTTTTTTTTATTCTGGAGTAATTGATAGATTTTGAGGACATTTCTGCTACAGCTTTCTGTACAGTCTATTTTATTGAATGGCTCACTTATGTGGGCTGGTTTCTTTTACCCAGTTAGACTGGAGTGCATAGAGGGAGAAACCATAATGTTGGCTAAAGGAAAATAAATTCCTTGAAGAAATCCAAAAACCATTGTTTGCTTGAGAGGGAGGATTTTTTCACATGAGCAATAGTCTGAGAGGGACATTAAATTTGCATTGCTTATACAACTTCTAACAGAAATTTTTAGGGGTTTTTTCGGTGCCTGAAGAAACATCTGTTATCCTGCAGCTTGCAGCTGCACTGTCTGTGAGTATTTCCTGATCTGTAGTGAATTTGTCTTGTCCATGACCTCAAATGATTTTTGTTCATTCTTCCCTCAGTTTTGTTTGTTTCTGACAGAAATATTGAAAGCATAAGAACCTCATTTTAGCAACAAACTGGTTGCTTAGAGTGTGTCAGTGCTGGCAGTTCTGTGGTTGCAGATCCCTTTGGTCTCAGAATTTCTGCAGTTCATACCCATTACCTTAGGTATAGACGTATGTGTTGAAATTATGTCTATTACAAATAGAGCTTTTGTGAATTTGCATATGGAGATCATGTACTCTCATCCAACAAGGAAGATGCTCAAGGGCATCAAACCAACCATAAATTAAACAATAAGAATTTATAACTTCAAAGATTTGTAGTCAATCAGAAGTTTGTTTTTTACTTTTGGATTCCATTGATAGCTATGCTCAAGTCAATAAAAACCCAAAAAATTCATTATCCATCACAAATTATTCATTCACCTGCACCTCTTGAGATTCCCTGCTGTATTAATCTCAGGCTCTCCTGAGCAGAAATTGTCAATTACTTTGTGATGTGGTAGTGTTATTTTGCAGAATGTGAACTGTAACTTGCAAGTCAAACTCAGCTTTCAGAACACAGAGGCCAGTATTTCAGGTTTTTAAAAAGGTTTTTTTCACAGCCTCCTTAGTAGCAAAGCAAAAATCTTTTTATGGAAGCATCAAAAATCCTGGAGGGAATGCTATTGCAATGGGTTGTTGGTCTTTTCAATTAAAAAGCACTAGAAAAGTAAAGGTGTGGAAGAAAACAGATTAGACTGTGATGGAACACTGCTAGCCTGAGCAGTAGGATAGAGAATGTTGAATTTATTCCTTATTTTAACTTTGGGTGGGAAAGGTTGATTTTAATGGAAATGTCCACTCAAAGAGAATTTGTCCAAGGCAGTTGTTCCAAGAAAGAATTGCTTTGGGAGTAGATGTGGCCCTAACTATAATTAAAGTTCCCACTAGGTAAAAAATGCAGGTTACTTTTAAGTCACGTTGTAATAGGAAAAAAGAAGCAAACTTACCAAAAGTCTTTTGCATTGCTGAATTTTGTCACAAGTTGGAATTATTCACACAGCCAAAAATAATGACTCGTAAAAGGCATCTACAAAACCTATGTTATCATTAAAGATGTAAGAGAATATGAGGTAACACACGCATTTCTGAGACCCAGAAGATGCCAAGAGAAATGTGAGTAGCTGAGAAATGAATATTCAGTCACGCCATGCAGTACTGAGACCTGTTAGCAGTAAAAATGGGTTATGCCTTGCCTTAGTTCTGTGTTCCCATATTTTTACATTAGCAAATTTATTGTTTATATACCAAAACTGTAGATTCTAGATACTTTTTCATTCCTGCATGAAATGAAAACAAAACAAAAAAATCCATTCTCCTTCCAAAACACCAGACAAACATTTGCAAAACAAATTTTCTAAAATAAGTAGAAAACTATGACTGATTTTTATCAAGTTCAAGTTTCTATTATATCATATAAAGAAAAAGCGCAGAATTTATCAATGTAAATAAACAACAAAGCAATCTGTAAATAAAACAGGAATAAAATAATAGAGAAATACTGTTTGAGTGGAGGAAACTTGTCTTAGATGGCTTCTTCAATCTGCAGTTCATAAACTTCACTTACATTATTCACTTATGCTTCTTCTCAATTTAATGGTTTTGTATCAGGAAGCAGCACCTCGCAGGCTGATAGATGATATATTGGGCTTTCAGTTTAGGATCTAATTTTGAATTCAGCTGTGGGTATCAGAGAGCTGTACTGTTTGTTTATGCCTGTCTGAGGACTCAACTCTCTACAGCAGGATTATGATATGCAGCATAGAAAAGGGAAGCATCCTTCATCAAGTGCAAGAAAACATTTCATATAGTGGGCAATTATTTTCATTCCTAGAAAAGAGGTGACGTATTAAATAATGGCATAAACAGCAGCTAATGGTGGATTGTACTATTATATTTCCATAGAGAATTTCTGCTGACATCATAGACTGCCACAGCAAAGCTTATAAGAATAGTAATCCATGCATTATTAATCCTGAACCTTTACTTTGAAGATTTTTATGCTTTTGGTGTGATAATTTTTACTGTACTCTTGGTGTCGTTCCTAGAAGTCTCTCTTCATGCTGCAGCCCAGGACAAAAAAGTGGGATGCTCCATAGAAATGCCTTTCGGAGGACTCCTCCCTTGCCTCGGGGTAGGTTCAATGGAATTACAGGACCAGCATATCAACAGCTCGAGGAGTCCAGGATCACAGAGCAGGACACCATACCTTGTCACGGGTGAGTAATGACATACCTGAAGGGAGACAGCTAGTGCCTTTTGAAATAGTGGGTTTTAAAATAAAATAACACACATTGCAAAGCCGGTTTTGTATAGATAGCTTCGTACGTAGCTTTGTCTTGAAAATGCACGAGAAATAGACTGGGGTTTCTTTCCTTTTTAAATTCAGTTTATTAGAACGTTGACTGTGAGCTCCAGCTGTACGTAAGGTCTGGGTTTCAGAAGTGCTCCTGAGAACCTGCAGCTGCCTTTGAAGTCCTTTGCAATTGCTGAGATATTTTGCATAATATTTACATATCCCTATAGATTTCCAGAGACTTTCCAGTATATTACAAGCATATTTTATATAAAAATATGAGTGATATCTCAAATGGAATAAAACCCCCACCCAGTTTCACCTGTAAGTCACAGTGAAACTCTTCTCTCTGACTTACAGGTGAAACTGGTGGGGTTGTGTGTCTGGTGACTTTTACATAAGTTTCACTCACACTTGTGTCAGTCATTGTTACTATTTGCTTCTTCTGAGGAAAAAACTGTTTATTTCCTCTTGCAGTAAATATACTGTTGTTCATTTGTGTGATATGTGCATATAATTCCTGGTGAAAATTTCCTACTGAAATTGCTGCCCTTGCAGAAAGGAGCAGGCTGGCAACATTATATGGTGCAGGCTCTGGGAAGTGCCACAGCCTCCTCTCAGGCTGAGGAGTGAGGTACAAAACAGCAAAGCTGTGGGTAATTGTATTTACTCTTGTCTAGGAGATCAGTGTGTGGCCTTACAAGTATCAGCTTGTACTGGCCTGTATTTTAAATTTGCCGTTCTGCAGAATTTGATACTGGGACCAGACTGGGCCCCCTTCTGGCCTCAATCCACTCAAGCACTTCATCTATATTTTGTTCATTAAAGGATGTTCACCCTCTGAATATCTGCTGGTTTCACAGTGTTGGTGCTCTCATCAGATTTCCAGCCCAGACAAAAATTTCTCTTGTCCCCTGCAGAAGTCGCACTGCTTCCTTTCTTCTCCTTTTTCACCTCCATCTTTCCCTATTGGGATGCACAAATCAAAGTGCTTTGTCTCTCTGATTCTGTGCATTCTGAACTTCATCCTCCAGCAGCCTGGCTGAGGCACAGTCAGCTCTGCAGGTGTGGATGGGGGTGTGTGTCTGTCAGTGTAAGCGCTTCCAGGGCTGCCCCAAAGCCTGCCAGAGCCCCTGCAATCATTCCCATCCGTCTTAATGGACCTTGTCAGCCTTGTACACCACACACCTTTAGCCACAGGGCTTACAGCAAAGCTGCTGGGACTGTGCTGAGTGAAACCCGTTTCATATTTACAGATTCAGTCCCTTCTGTCTGTCTTTGATGTGTATTTTTAAAGGGGGCAATAAAATTATTGTGCTTCTTTCAGTTTCATTCTTTAATTTAGACTCTTACACACTGTATAACATAATTACTATTGAATATTTATAAATGTTTGCTTTTGTTGCTTGGTTTTAGGAAGAGGGTGGAGAGAGAGCTGCACTTTGAAACACATGCACATGAATTAATTTATTCAGACAAAATAATTTTTCAGATAAAAACCCAGATATATTTCTTTGGAGGAACTGTGGTTCTGGGAAAGTTAATTATAGGAAAATGTAATTAAGGTTCTGCAATTATAGCTCTAAGTCTCAGTCTATTGAAAACAGCAGCAGTCTGGTGTCACACACAGAAGCATGGATCAGTTTGTAATTAACTAAAAGCCAAGTCTCACATGGTTTAGATATAATATCCCTTCTAGTTTAATACCTCACCTGTTGCACACAGTGTATGCACTTTAATTCAACCTCAGTCATCCTCTGAAAGCCCTGTGAGCATGGGGCAGAAACATGTTATTCTGGCATAAAATTGGTATGTCTATCTGTATTTCAAGAAATATTATGGAAATACGCCAGGCATTGCATTACATGTCACTGCTGCTGACAGCTACTTTTCAAAATACCAAGAATAATTGAATCTCTATTGTAGAACTGGCAAATATTACTGTTTTCTCACCAAACCCATTTTAATTCAGTCTTTTCCTGTTTTTGCTTATATATCATCCATATAATACCTACATTGCATGTGAAATTCATTAAAAACATTCACTCCCTTTGTTTTCAGGGTGCAGCCCAGAATATATTTAGGGCCTGAATTACCAAAAAAGGGACTAATGCAACTGATGCGATCTCTCCAGCTATAGTCGTTTGAACAATTATATATAAGCAAAGGAAACAAGAATGGGCACAACCCAAAGGTCTGCACTGTTTTGTTTTCATTTATTTTTTTTAATTGTCCTCCCTCAGGAATAAAACCCCTGACCAGTATTTCATTCATCTAGAGTCCTGAGAGCTGGTGTAGGGAGCCCCCCAGGAATGGCAATGGGTGTGTCTAAGCACAGTGCCAGTGCACTCAGCCAAGGCTGAGCCTCAGATGTAAAACAGCTGCAGCCTGTAGAGCACGGACAGGAAGTCTTAGCACACATCCCAAAAAGCTGCTTGCTCTGTTATTCCCCTGGGTGCCACTTCCCAAAGCAGTGTCTCTTTCCCCCACCCAGCAGCAGGGTTCCCAGCCCTTCCCTCTTAGCGCAGAGCTCCCAGCTGCCCCTCCTGGGGATGGCAGCGGTGCTGTGCTCCACCTGGGCAGGGGCTGTGTGCAGCACTTGGACAAACTCAGTGCCACCACACACGAGCTGATTACAGGTCAGTGGCACTCTGCTGGAAACGAGCCTGCAGTTGTCTCCTGCTCCCTCCTGCCTGACACCTCGCCAGGAGCACGGGGCCAGAGGAAGCCTTCCCAGTGAATCCCTGTTTGTGCCAATACTGGACTACAGCGGTTTCACGTGACTCAGTTTCTCTTCCTTAGCTCTTTCTCTGCTGATGCCAAAAAGCAGGAGGCACATGTGAATAGAAGGATATTCCTAGTGAGGGCCAGCAGGCTTAAGGAGCTTTTGGAGTAAAACCCTTCAAGTCAGTGCTTCCACACCAGATCTAAATGTTGCTGTCCTCATCCATGGATAAAACGTATTAGATTCACCATTAAATAGTTGCCTTAAATAGTTGCCTTATTAATATGCGATAAGCTGTGTTGCCTTATTAAATAGTGATAAGCTGATTATAAATAAATTATGTTCTGGTACTGAGGTGATGTCTGTGGTCCATAGCAATCATGACTGGTAATATAGTAACTCCTAGAGCACCATATTTCTAGAAGTACTAATTTCTGACATCTAATTTCAGATGGGGAAGCATCTTTTCTTTCTTTTTTTTTTTTTTTTTAGCCATTGTTTATTTTATATTTATTACACTTTCCATTTCTGGTTTTTTTTAAAGTATTTTTCATAAACAAAGCAGAGTTTGGCTTTGAAACAAAATGGAAATGTTGATAAAAAGCCACAAAGTTGCCACACAATCAATAAAATCAGGTTATAATATGTGTTAGAGGAGGATAAAGGATTTTTTTTTTTTTAAATGGTATTGCAGTATCAAGAGAACACAGACATTTGCTCAAGTCCTATATGTTAGCTCTATTTCCAGATGAAATCTAATAAAACAAATCAGGCCAACATTATGAGTATGGGCTATTGAAAAAGGATTTTTTTTCAGAGGTACACTGCACTTAGATGCTGTGCTTGTTTGAAGGGGAGTACAGACAATCATTCCTGTGTAAATAAAGACTACACAGCCATGAGTGTTTAATGTTCTTTTTATCTGTACCTTTTTAAAGTGTTTTCCTGAAACAACCATATGACTTTGAGAGTTCTGACATTGAAGAAAATATCAATCCTTTTCCCCAATCAGAAATGTAGCAATAGAATTCCAAATTTATTTTCGAAGAAAATAAATAATACATTGTAACTATATCTGAAATATTTTTAAAAGAGATTTCCATTATTCTCACATCGTGGTGGGCGAAATGAGACTGAGAAAAAAGCAGTGCTTTGCCACTGAGAATCAAAACCAGTCTCCAGAGCCTGTTGTTTTCCCCAGGGCGCCACCACGGCCAAGTGCTCTTGTATTTCAGGAGAAAATGGTGTGTGTCTCTTGGGCACAGTTCACTGAACCTCACACAGTGTCCCCGCTTCTGGTGGCATCTCACCACTTGACGTACAACAAGAACTCTTCTTTACTCTTTCCAGGTATTCATCCAGTGGTTTAAAAACTCCTCAGAATACTTCAATAAATATGCAACTGCCTTCAAGAGAGACAACCCCATATTTTAATAACGTGGATCAGAAGGACTTGGTCGGCTATTCCTCTTCAAGGGCCAACTCCGTTCCCATCATCCCGTCTGTGGGCTTGGACGAAGCCTGCATGCAGATGCAAAATGTTCCTGAAGTAACAGGCATCAAATGGTGCAAAAACTCCTATTCTGCTGAACTTGTCAATGTGAGTTCCCCAGTCAGTAATTGTCTAATAGCAGAACAACACGAAGTGAAAATATTGCTAGAAACTGTGCAGGAGCAGATCCGGATCCTGACGGACGCGCGGCGGTCGGAGGACTTTGAGCTGGCGAGCGCGGAGGCGCAGAGCGGCGCGAGCGAGAACACGGCCTTCCTGCCCATGAGCCCCGTGGCCAAGGCAGAGCGAGAGGCACAGTTTGTCTTAAAAAGTGAAATGCAAAGAGACTCGGTATTGACCAAGTGACTCCGTGTGGGGGTTGTGGGAGGGGAAACGAGAGGTCTGTGCATTCGACGCTTTGCTAAACAGGAAGGGAGGAAGTTAAATACAAATTATTTATATGCATTAATTTAAGAGCATCTACTTAGAAGAAACCAAATAGTCAATCGCCCTCATATCATAGTGTTTTTTAACAAAATATTTTTTTAAGGGAAAAGTTCCAGGAGGGATGAAGCGTGCTTTTAGATGCTTTCTAGGCAGGATTACACAGTTTCGGTTACAGAGGATTTTACCGCGGTCCTGTTCGGCTGTCCGAAGGCTTAGGCTATGCATCTCTTTTTCAGTAAAGGCCAAGTACCGTTCTAAGATGCATTTCTGGTTTCAGGGCAGCACTGCAGTGAGCTGCAGGGCAGGGATTCAGAGCCTGGGGAGCACGTCCTGTGAGCCCAACACAGATCCAGTCCCCTCTCCCCCTCTGCTCTCGATTCCTGGTTCATGCCACAAAAACAGGCGCACAGACACGTACTTCTGAGCTCTGGTACCTGCTGTGGAATGGTGACAATGCCCCTGAATTGAGCAGCTGCTTGACTCTCAACCTTAATTCGATGTGTCAGTCACCCCAGGAAAGTCAGTGGAATCATTTATGAGCTTTGGGATTGGCCAAGAGTGGGAGCAGGGTTGGGGTCTACAGAGATCCAGTGGTCAGGAGCCCACAGCTGCTCCCTCTTCTGAGCTTTGCCTATCAGAGCTGCCTTGGTGGAGAGTGAGGAAGAGCAAGAGAAAATGTAGAGATGTCTATTACAACAGGTTTGGTTTTGGTTTCTGGTTTGAATTTTTTAAGTGGAAACATAAACTCTGTTGTTCGTTAGCGCCCCTCAACATTTCTAAACTTTTACACTTTAAAGGCATTTGTAAGCTCTCAAGGAGCACTTCTCAGTGTGTGTGTATTTTTTTTAAACTTATTTTTTTATTATGGCTTGTTCAGAGAAGAGTCAGGGAGATCCAGTATGATCAAAATCCAGCCAGTAAGTGTCCACGCTGCCTAATTTGTTCCTGCATTCAGTTCTCCAGTCACTTTAATTAACTATGGCTTAGGCTTGTGAACTTTAAAGCTTCAACCCTGCAGATGGTTCAGTATGGGCAGACCCACAGGCATGCAGAGATCTGACTCCAGTGGAGCTTTCTAAGAGCAGATGGTTTCCACCAAGTCACTCCCTGCAGGGGATCAAGGCCTTAGAGAGGATGTTGCCATATCCTCATCACATCATAAGCCCTTTTTGCATTAGCTTTCTTTTGAGTCCCTCTTCCCCCCCTCCATAAATTGTAAGAAAATGTGCATATTTTGCAATGAATTGGGTTCAGTGACACACCTTATTGGGTTTATTAGTGTTAAAATAATCTGCTTATTCTCGGGGGGACAAAATCAACTATAATAAATAATTGCTAAATAGCCTTTCCTGGTTAGTGCCAGGAGATTGATTAAAAATAATAATAAAAAAAGAGACTATATACAGAATGTATTTAAATATTCCTTTGAAGCAAAATAATTGTTAGATTTATTAATGTGCCCCAGTCTTTCTAGTTCACAAGTCTCAAGACTTCCCAAAATAGCACAATCAATCACACAGTGCTGTTGTATGTTGAGTCAGAATAAAGCAATATCTTAACCTTTGTCAAGTAAATTTGGAAAAGAAATGCTGAAGGTGTATGTCATTTTTATTTATTTTTTTTTGTTAAGGCAGTAAAAAAAAATTATTATTGACAGTCTTCATTCAGCAAGTCTTATTTTGGGTTGATTTTGTGGTTTGGGGGGTTCTTTTAAAGATAAACTTGATGAAATTTTCCTGTTTACAGAATTTTCTATGGCTGCAATCTTTGCTGTGTGTTTTCAACAGAAACATATTTGAGGGCAAACTATTGTTTTATGCCCCAGGATGGAGTGTGAGCTGTTCAGACTCCCTTCTGCAAAGACACAGAGCTTTTGTTGTAGCAGTGAGGTGGGATGCCCGTGGGGTTTGGTCTCACCCTGACGTTTTCCTGCCATATGTGGTGGTGGGCACAGCCTCACTGTGCATGAGCTGAGCTGACTGTGGTGGGTATGGCCCCAGATAAACCCTCTGAGATGCAGGGTGCATTGGCTGGGGCTCAGATTTGCTCCCCTACCATCATTTGAGTTTTCTGTCAGCACCATTTGCATCCCCCCCGTCTCAGGACATGAGCAAAGGGAGCCTGCCTCTGCCCATAAGCCCTGTGAGCATACCTGAATTTTCATATTATATGAAAAGTGGGTACTGTATAAAGCTCTGGTTTAACAGTTTTCAAATGGTGATCACAGTTAATGAATTGTTCACCATTCATTTAATCGAGGTGGTCTCTCTGCAATACAATGCAGAATCCTGCTCAAACTGATGCTTAAAAATCAAATCTTTTCAATTCAGATCTTCCCCAATCTGCAAATTCACCTCTGGCAACATAATGGGAACACACAGCAAGATTTCAGTTGAAGAAAGAACCATGTCATAAGCAATGCCTTTAAGGAGAGAATGTGTTCATGCAGCACCCCCAAAAGACCCAGAAAGAGGAGACGAGCAATGTATTTAAGAGAATGAAATGTTTTACTGAATGGTAGCTGAAGATCTGAAATGGTGAGGATATCTTTGGTTCATGTTAGAGATACGATCTTGTACTCAGCAAAGGATGTGTGACTGTTATATGTTAACTGTTCTATTCAGTTCTCAGCATGTTTGAATAGAGAGACGTTAATATTAACCAATGACAGACTAGTGTATTATTTGTTCAGAGCATCGCTTCAGATCTTATTGAAACTGTCATTATTTGCAGAGGAAAACAAAAAGGGTTGAAAACATCCAACTAGGCAGCCTTAATGTTGTTTGTGTGGTTTTCTGATGCAACTGTTTTCCTCTGTGGACCTTCCTGTTTTACAGTGAATGGGGCAACATTTTCTCTGAGGTCTGACAATTAAATGTGTAAAGCATCCGTATGAAAGCCGTACTGGAACAGTACCATACTGGAACATGGTAGGCCAAATTTTGCTTTACTTCTGGTCCCACTGAACCCGTGGATTGGAAGGGATGCAAGTCACTGAGAAATGCAATTCATTCCTAAAAGTACACCTGTTCCCAGCCTTGGAGACAGTCTGTAATCCCCCTAGAAGAGGCTCTGAACTCAGTTGTTTACGTGGATCAAAATTAAAAATGTTACCTGACCTATGAAGTTCCAGGTGTAGTCTGGTGTGAAAATTTACACACGTAGCATTCAAGCAGACTGTGAGAGCAGCTGACTAAATAAATTGAACTTTCTCTGAACTGAGCAGAGAGAAGGCCTGTGTCTCCAGCACAACACCGTGGAGAATTGTGAGAGGTGTATATCCTGATCTTTTTAAAAAATTTATTTCTCTTTAGAATTTCTTCAGAAACAATCCAAAATAGCCCTAAAAAAAATTAAATAAAAACCAGTAGAACAATCCCAGCATTTGAAATAGGAAATGTAGGTAAGTATGGGCACATTTCATAGTGTTTACCATTGAAAAACTCTTCAGTACCCCAAGGCCCAAAGCTGGAACATTGTAATTTTTATGTTGTTTAGATCAACAAAGGGTTCTGTGGAGCAAGAGCTCTTCAGAATGCCTTTGGTGCCTGGCCCACGCTGTCAGCTGGTGTAGCCAGTGCAGCAGTGACAGTGTACATGAAGAGAGGATCACATCCCAGATCCCTGCTACCTGCTGCCCTGGGTGGGGTCACAAAGCCCAGCGGTCTCCCGTGTGATGTGAGCACTGCTACTCTGATTTATTTTGCCTCTGAGCATCCCAGCAGAGCGACAACACTCTCAGCAAAGCACAGTGTGAGGCTCCTTGGCCAGGGATTGGGTCCAGGTCCATCTGGAACCGGGCTGGGTGTCCCTGGCCAGGCTCTAGCAGCAGTGTGGCTGATCCCAAAGCCATGCAGCAGTGTCCTTCACCTTTAAATTCTGAAAAAAACACGAGTTGATGGCATGTGCTTATGACCAAGCATGTGCTCAGTATGCTCCCAAATTGAAATGTTAGCAGTTAATTCACATCTGCTTCTCATGTAAGCAGGGAGAAAATCTGGATTCCTTTTCCCAGTTTGTCCCCAGGTTCCTGTAGTTTCCTTTTGGACATTACTTGAATGTTTCTTACTCTTATAAGAAATTCTGAAAATGACTACCAAAGAAGAACTCTGAAAGAGTCCTGCCTGCAGTAAATAAATTTGAAGCTTGAAGGAGCAGACCTGGAATAAAAACTGGGTTTGAAAGTGGTATTAATATCAATTGCCTTTCAATAAAATGAAATTTCCCTGTACACTCTTTACCCCTTGGGAAAACAATGAGCTTATAAAGTGATTTATTATCTTGCCATGAATTTAAAATGTTTATCTTCAAGGAGATTGGGAAAAAGTAAATATTTAGCATAGATTTTTCAGCTTTTGTGATTTAATTTTTTTAAAATTTTATTTCAGCAGCCTAACAGGTCAATGAACCCATTATCTGTATTGTCTGACACATATTCATAAAGTCTCCTCTTTTGTGGTCCAAAAGCTGCAATGCTATATTTCCTTAAAGAGATCAAGATTTTACCTAAATTTTATTTTTTAATTATTCATAGAATAATATAGTTATTTATCTTGCTGAAAATGTAAAGTGATACAAACTTTTTTTGGGTTTTGTACTGCATTATTGCTGCAAGGTTGTGCTTCCTTTGTTTTGATGTCTACTTACAGGAAAACAGCACCAAGTTTTCAGTTTTAGGCTTAGCACTTTCAAATCATGGTATCAGGCAGGATTTCTGTTTTCCATAGCAAAGTTCAAATATGACATAGAATGAAAAAGCTACAACAGCAGTAAAATTACTAATAAAGTAGGCTTCTGTTTGGATTTTGGGGGTTTTTTTTTAATTTTTATTCCATGGCAATCAGAGGATTGTGCTGTGGGAATTGATACTCTTGGAAGAAATACAGAATGTTTTAGGGAGAGTGGAAAGTCATCACTGTAGCCCAGAACTAGAAAAGCCACAGTGGAGGAGGAAACAGTCATCCACTGTCTGCTGCAGGGGATAACAGTGCTTTCATCTTAATAGTAAAAACCAGTACAGTTGTTTACCTGCTAGGAAAGGTAAATTATCTGAATTTATTAATGACCACAGTGGTAGTGTTTGATTAAAGGAAAAGGGGCAGAAATCACCATTTTTTTCCTGCTTGCCCAATCCCTTGGAACAAATCTAATTATGTTTTGGTTCTGTGCTATTAAAGCACTGTTTACAGTGCTTCAGAGACAGAGTGCTCACACCTCACTGACAGCCTGCACTGACTCTTCCTTGCTTGAAAAGATTTAGCAGTTTCCTCTTTGATCAACACTCCTGTAAACAAGGAGTGATTTTCTAATACCCCATGAGGCTGTTCTTGTGCAAGGTTTCCCAGACAAATAATAAAAATCCAGTAAGACCAACTATAATTCTATTTTTTTTATTATAAGGAATGATATATAATATTTTATAGCTATAACGGAGAAGGGTTATTGTGACTGGAGTATGTAAATAAACCATAGGATAAAATGTATGTCAGCAGCATGGAAATCCTGTCATTGTACCATAGCTTTCAATAATACATTCTCTCCACACCATCAGGAGACTACATGCAATTTATAATTTTGCTTTCCTTGAGGGGTGCCATGGTCTGCACCACGTCACTGTAGTGATGGCACTCACTGATGTGCCCCTGCCCTTATTCCTTGCATTGCAAGAGCCACTTCTGTGCTGTCCATGCCTGCTTTGGTCTACCTGAATTCACTGAATTCACTGAGTTTGTAACCATTCAGCCTCTTTATTCACCTTCAGTTTTACCTTGCCCTCAGAATCAAGAGTATCAGCCTGACATTTGGGACCCTGAATAAATTCAAGGCCTTAAACAGTTTAATGCACTTAACATTTGTCTGCTTGGGTTTGACCTGACAGGAAATCTCTGCCTTGAAGAGGGATTTATGCAGCCCATGCTGCAAGGCACTTTCCTGCCCTTCCTTCATGTGTGCCACTGTCAACATGTCCAGGCTGTGAGCCAGCCACTCTCTGAATTCTCCCTGCCAGCACTGGGGAGCACTGTGAGATTACAGACCAGACCTCTTCCACTGCACCAAAGACCACAAGTCATCTGCAATGTCCTGAGCTCTAGCATCAGATGCAACTTTCTGCCTCTGACTACCAAAATGTCTCCAAAGGTTAAGGTCTCTAATATGCATCACATTAAATTATGTAATAAAAGCAACACCAAAGTCTATAAAATTAAGAGTTATATGGCAAATAATATTTTAAAATGTATGTCTTGCTTTGAAGGAATATGGCACAAAAGCTCCCAGTTGTGTAAATATTTGGAAACAAAAAAAAAAAGAATACAAAAAAAAATAGAGGACTATAAAAGAATACCACTAATAATTAATATTCTAAAATAAAAAATAGTTCCTTGCCTTCTCTGAAATACACAGTTGAAGGTTATCAAGGTGCATCAGGGACATGAAGAAGACTCAGTGAGGCTGGTTTATAAGTCATATATATGTCTTTTCTCAGGAAATCCAGAGTTTCCCTTGCTTGCAGTAAGATGATTCTTTCATAACATGAAATTCACTCCTATGCATTGCATATCTCAGCATGAGCAGGACAGAAACACAGTACAGGCTTCACTTTGGCTTTCTGAATCAAGTTAAACTCTCTTGCTTTAGATTATCTCTGATCTCATCCAGGAAAGAATAAATGAATATCAAGAAAGAAAAGAGATACTTGACATAGTTTGGTTTTTATCAACAATTTAACCAATTGCTATTAAGACTGGAGCCATCTGCTGAACTTCAGTGTTTGAGAAATAGCTTAGACTTCCACTGCTCTTGATGGGGAAAAGCAAAAAAAAGGTGGTTCAAGCATCAGCACCCAGGAATACACACTGGGAACAGTGGAGAATAGGGTAGGGAGCTTCTCTGACTGTGGCACAGTTTCTTCCATGGGTGAGGAGGGATGGATTTTGTGTCAGGCCAGATGGTGTCATCTGAGAAACTTGCCTTTTGTTTCTTCCTCAGATCTTTCTCATTTCAGTGAAACTGTGGTCATCAGCACTAGTTTGTTTTTTAAGTTAGGGATTTCCAAATTTTGCAATCCTTCGAAATGCTGAATTTAGGGAGCAGAGACTTCCAAACAAAAAAAGTAAAATTTCTTCTGCAGTTTTTTTAAACCATTGAAATACATGTTAACTATTTTTATGTTACTTCGTTACATTATTTTGTTACATTACATTTTAGTATTTTACATTAACTATTTTTTTTAAATTAGATGTTGGAAACCTAAATATTGAATCTTTATTTTACATAATGATAACAGGGGATGGCTAAGATCTGTGTTTTATTTTTCTCTCCTATCTTGTTGAAGGTGTCCCAGCTTGTTGCAGGGCTGTTGGACTAGATGACCTTCTGACCTGAATTATGCTAACCACGTTCAAGTTAGTTCTTTCAAATTGCCCACAGACAGCTGGATATTTTGTCTGCATCAATGGTAACTTTGGGTTGTAAAGGTAAATAAGATATTTGGACTACATAAAACTTCCAGGCCAGACTCTGGTGTTGCACAAGTGGCAGCTGTTTCACTGCAAGCACAGTTAATGTGAAGGCTCCCAGAAGAGGGTATTTGTGGTGGCTCAGCAGCTGAGCTGCCTGTAATAAACCCCAGGTGCAGTGCTAACCTCTGCTCCTTTCCAAAAGTGA